GTTGGCATAGACCTATAAAAACATTGGTTGAACGAAAATAATACATATCATATATATATAACAATAACTATTATAATATAAACATTGATTTGGTGGGATGATCCTTCCAGCTGAGGTTCTGAGCTCTCATTTTCAGTATAGGCCTATTTTCATTTCATTTATTTATTCAACCAACCTTGACATTATCCAATGACAATAAAATACAATACCGGTATGTGAGAAAAACAAAAATTTAAATTCTAGGCACGAAAAAAGGAAAGCATTTATATAGTGTTAATATAATAATGGTAATTGTTAAAGTAATAGTAATGATAATGATACTGATAAATGTTTACAGTGATCCGAATTATAAGAACACAAGATTTTATGTAAAATGCTTACCAGTTCCCTGTGAAAAAGCGGGGTTATTGAAGTCATAATTTCTGAGTTCGCTGTACCAATGGTTAGAACACTCCCTACCTGAAATTTGCAAATTAATAGTCTGTATTAATTGTATTGTCTCAAACATGTCAACGATTATATAACCAGGGAACAGTGAAATAACGTTTCTGTGTCATTTCCTGACAATATAACAAGTTAACGACGATTTGCTGTGATGACATGTCTATTTTAATACAAGTTAATTATAATCAAAGAATTTCGTTTGGTCTTCTTAATTTAACAAGGCCTGACCGTCAACATAAGAAAGCTAGTATTTTTAGCTATTTTTTTGGTCTAATTTAGAGAAATTTATATCTTTAAGTTAACTATAAATAAGACAGGTAAAAAACAGCACTATTTTAGTGGTGGATGATTGGAAACTATATTACGCCCCTACACACAGTTACTCACCCGAGTAGTCGGTCGTTTCGGAGGAGTAGTGCATGGCGATATTTTCGCCGTACTGCCGCTGTTCACTGTGCTCGAATTTTCCGGTCTTGGCTAGATGTTCGGCCCATTTCTGTGAGTGTTTATTTAGATCTTCCGAAGCAGTTAATTTTGGGACGCCATGTTTTACGCGATACTCGTTGTGTGTGGTCAACGCCTCCTGCTGGAACTGCTTCTGTTCTGATTTTGAAATCTGTATATACAATTCATCGAAACGATTCTGATTCATTGAAATTTATGCAGTATAAAACTATAAATTTAACATGAAAAACACCTATCTAAAAATAATTAATCATCGGCTACGAGTGCAAGAATTAATTCCTTCCAAGTACCTAATAACCATCTTTGTATGTTAGTACTTCCAAATATAGGCCTATTACTACTAGGCCTA